TGAGGCCTACAAGCATGAAAATGGTTCGTAGAATCCGCTTTCTTTCTCAGGAGTTCTGTGGCTAGGTCATGAATCAAGTATCACTTGGCCAGACTTGCTCTGCCAACGATGGATTCAATGTCCATGTGCTTAAGGCCAAGCAAACTCTAACCAGACTACACTGCTGAGTAATGAATAGACATCCGGACGTGGCTTCATGAGCTTCGACAAACTTTATCCCGGCTAGAAAAGGAGATGGAAGGTGAGTGCCTGAAGAAGCTTCGGTCTCACCCCCTAAGTGGTCGACGCAGACTGATAACTTCTTGTCACGACTTCAGCTGAGACACGGCGGGGTCTACGGGCCTGGCTTGGATGTCCGCCGCCGACTGATCTCTTTCACGAAGCCAGGCAGAAACGGCTCGAGAGAACATGCGATTGGGTCTTGAACCGCCACGAATTCATTGAGTGGCTCGCTCCGAACAGGGAACCCGTCAGCACCGAAAGTTTTCTATGGATCAATGGGCCAGCGGGACTTGGAAAGACTGTCCTCTGCGCTAGAATCGTTGAACATCTGTTGTCAACATCTCAGACACCGGTGGCCTACTTCTTCTTGTCGTCTGACTTCGAAAGCCGCAACGATCCTTATGCGGCAGTTCGGTCGTGGATTCATCAGCTGACGTCTTGTAACCAAGTCGCTTACCACTTGGCTCGAGACAAATGGCTAGCCCAGAATGAAGACTTCGCCACGCAAATCGAAATCGTGGATCTGTTTCGGGAAGTTGTGCAAGTTGTCCCTGGGGCATATTTTGTTTTGGACGGCTTGGATGAGTGTACTTGGATGGGAAAAGGCCAAGGCGACGGCAAATCTTTGCAAGTCTTTCTCAATAGCATCACTCGAGCAGTCGCCAACACTGATGCTCATATCTTGGTCGTTAGTCGGGACGAACCTGAGATTCGAAGCGACTTGATGTACATGAAAGAATGGGGGGAACTGAAGATCGTTCGTGGGGATGTTCAATCTGACGTTGCTCGATATGCGAGGAGTATTGTCGACAAGAAGCTGTTCAAAAAATATAATGCGACAAGAGAGGAAGTTTCCCGGATGCTTGCAGATCGTTCACAGGGTCAATTCCTCTGGGTCAAACTACACGAGGACTCTTTGCGCAGCTGGAAGAACAACAAGCAGCTTGAGGATGCTATCGAAGAGATCCCGTCCGGACTCGATCACGTCTACGAAAGAAACTGGGTGCGGATATCCAGATTGCCAGAACCAATCCGCGACCGTGCCTACTCGCTCCTGCAATGGGCAGCTTTCTCAATCCGACCACTGACTGTCAATGAAATTTCAGAGGCCACACTCCTCAAAGAAGATGATGATGGAGAGTTCCCTGCCAGTGAGCTACCTGAAGAGATTGACGAAGATTACATTGAGAGCGAGATTCAAAGTCCCTGTGGTTCACTGCTGGAGATTCGTGGCACACACTCGGATTCTGAATTAGGGCAGAGGACAGTACACCTGACCCATTTCTCGGTCAAGCAGTATTTTCTACGCAACACGATCATTTCAACGCAATGGCCGCTATGTAAGAAGAACAGGCAACTTTCGAATACAATCTTGCAAAGCAGTCGTCTAGCAAAGCTATGTCTTCGCTACATCCACAGCGAACACTTCAGGTACAACAAAGAAACTGCAGATACGATTGCAGGAAGCAACGAAGGGGAGAACATTCAAGTCAGCGTCAAGAGATCCTTTCGACATTACGCAACAGTTTCATGGTATCAACATGCTGCCGCTGGTAATGAAGATGACTTCGATCTACATATGCTGATCAAAGCTCTGTTTGACGAACGCAGCCCTAGTTGGGTGGCATGGCGCGATATGTTCCAGATGTATAGCACAGGGATCAATTGGGCAATCATTACCTCAATTAGACCTCACGACGCTAGTCCCATACACTACGCTGCACGATTTGGACTCACCAGAATTACGTCATACCTCATTCATGACAGAAAGTATCCCGTGAATGCCAAGACGCCATTTGGTAGAACGGCCTTGGAAATCGCGGGTACCGCGGGCAACTTGAGAGTTGCAAAGGTCCTTTTAGACGCAGGAGCGGATACTTCAATACGGAACGAGAACGGATCAACACCTCTCATTGAAGTCGCGTTGCAAGGAGTCCTCAGTGTTGCCGAGCTTCTTCTTGAGAATGGCGCTGACATTTCAGCCGCGAATGATGAGGGCTTTACGTCACTTGCGTCCGCTTGTATTCGCGAACATGTGCCTGTTGTCAAATTGCTGCTGGAAAAGGGAGCCAACACCTCAGTGGCGGACAAAGATGGATGGACACCTCTTAGCTCCGCTGCTCTCTACGGACACCAAGAGATTGTTAGATTGCTTCTGGAAAACGGAAGTGATGTTTCAGATTCGAGCAATGGTAGCTGGACGCCGTTGACAGCCGCTTGTTCTCAGGGCCACCTGGAGGTTGTCAAACTGCTGCTAGAGAAAGGAGCTGACATTGCTCATCCATACCGTGACATGCGCTCGCCTCTTCACTGGGCTTCTGTTCGAGGGTTTAATAAGGTTGCGGAGATGCTCCTTGAAAAGGGGGCTGATATCACGGCTACGACTGATCAAGGGTGGACGCCGCTTCATTTGGCAGCAAGTTCAGGGCATCTCAAAACGGTCAAGCTACTTCTTGAACATGGCGCCGACACAAACCGTATGGATACGTCGGGTTGGAAACCTTTATATTTAGCATCAAGCAAGGGCCATAGCAAAGTTGTCAAGCTGCTTCTCAAGTATGTTCACGGCAGCGGAGACATCGACAGACCTGGCTTGGCATCTCTTGATCCGACTACAGCTGCGAAGGAACTCGAACTATCCCAGTTACTTTTGACCGAGCCCCTTGCCGAGAGACAATATCTTGCAGACGCAACAGGATGGACGCCACTTCACGAGGCCTCATACACTGGACGAATCAAGGTAGTACGGTTACTTCTCGACCTAGGGGCTGATCGCTGGCTGGTGGACGCACGAGGATGGACAGTATTACACGCTGCAGCAGTAGGCGGCCATGCAGCAGTTACAAAACTTCTTCTCAAAGATCCCGATTGCAAAGCCAGCAGAACAGACGACATGAGACGAACACCTCTATTTCATGCTGCAACGCACGGATTTGACGACGTGGCAAAATTGCTGACCTTTCAGAATCAGGGAGATATTCATATCACGGATAAATACGGCTCTACTCCGTTATCTGCCGCATGCCGCAATGGTCACAGCAGCGTCGTCAAGCACTTACTCTCTTTGGATAAAAGCACCATAGGAATCCGGGATATACTTGGTCGAGACTCAATTTGGTGGGCAAGAAATGGCGGGGATACGAAAGTTATTCGTTTGGTAGTTCAACATGCTTCAAGACTCGGACTCGATACTACAGAGAACAACGTCCTTGGCACTCACGCGGCGGACTTCGCAGAAGACTCAGTCATGTGTGACATGTGCGTCACATGTGTTCCAGATCACATAGACGTATGGGGTTGCAACCTCTGTAATGGAGGCGATTTTGATATCTGTCTGGAGTGCAGGAGCCTCGGTTTGAGATGCCAAGATGAGCATGATGTTTGGTTTCTCAAGGACCCAAGAACTTAGCAAAGTACCTTATATTGACGGATTCGACTGGAGGTCTGGCTTGTGTCTCTCAACAACGTAGACGGCAAAGATATGGGGATCTTGCAGTCATTCGTAAGTCTGGCAATCTTCCTCAAAGAGATCCATGTCCAATTGAGAGGCACGTTGATTAATGGGATGGCCGTGACATACTCTAGGAACGCCTGAATAATTCCCGGTGCACCTTTAAGCACAAACGTTGCAAGAAATGCTATAAGTGACTGAGTCGCCATCGAGAGTAAAAAATTCGAATGCCGCGGAGTACAAGGAGTGGAAATGTATGCATTTCAAACATGTTTGGGCGAACGTTTGTGCAATTTTCACGTGACCGCAGTTGAACATAATTGAATAGACATCTGCTAGACTTGGACGCAGCTATAATGGCTACCTTATCTTCGAACTGCGTTGCTCAGAAACTTCGCAATTGAGTTCCAAACCGCTATGGGGTTGGTGTAAATAACGAAATGTCCACTGTTTGGAATCTCCGCTAGCTCCACGCCAGCTTGAGAGATCTGCGATAGATAGGACAACTTTTTATACGATGTCCCAAACATAAAATTTTTCGGGCATGGCAGTCCTTCGAATACTTTCAACAAGTCCCCGGTATCGGTGTAATGCACCATAGATTCGAAAGTCGGCCTCACCACCTCTGGCCTGACTTTCGAACGGAGACTCGCCGCATACATCCCGTTCCCGTAGTCCGCCGATCGCCGAGTCCGTTCGATAAAGGAGGCGATGAACATTTCCGTATCGTTTGCCGGAAAGTCCAAAATTTGTCTGCTCAAGAAGCAGTCCTCTGGAGCAAGATTCCCCTTGATGTTGGTAAAGCTTAGTACCGCGCCTGGGTTGCGCTGTGCTAGTAGCAAGCCTGTCAAGCCGCCCATAGAGTGGCCCACGAGGTGGAACCGTTTGATCTTGTGAGCGTCCAGAACTGCCTCGGCTACGGCGACGAGGAATGGTATGGAGATGGCGCTGTAGTCAGAGCTGGTGGATGTACCGCTGCCGGGGGCATCATAGGCGAGTAAAGGATAGTCGGAAAGGGGCGCGTGATGGATTACATCTGTGAAGTCTTCTTTGGTGCTCCCGAAGCCGTGGAGGAAGAGTACGGGATCCAATGGGCCGTCGCGGCGGACGGTAGAAATTGAAAGATTGATACTGTTGATAACAAGGGAGATATCTTCCCAAATAAGATGGTTAGACGATGGCGTTACGCCGCTGATAGGCGGGCCGATTTCTGTTGCTGGCATCATGCCTTAATCATAGGATGCGAGAGTGTTTGTTGAGGAAATTTCTCAGAGAGAATATCGTCCTTTATAGATGAACAAGGTTCAAGGTGATATTGCCGATTGAAAATATCAGCCTGTGTCGTGAGTTGCCGTTATGCTCTAGACACGGCAGCAAATCCTTCGGTGCCGGCGGTTGTCAGTATCCGCCGGAGTGGGTCCTGAAGACCGGCGCTGAGGCCGAAAAGCTCGGCACCGTGAATTTTTTTACCGTCGGCACCGCCACGCTTTGCCGACCGGCTTTTTCTTCCCAGGCTTGCAGACATTCATTCGCTAAGTCATACCGTGCTTGTGGGTAGGCATCATATGGAGAATTACCTAGCGTCCGTCGTGGCCTAGCCATAATGCCCCATCAAGCGCGAGCAGGAAGCCGACTAAGACTTCGATTGCCTACCTTATCCTTACTACGTATACATGGGCTGGTCCCAGGCGCCTGATTATGAATGGTAACCATTTACATTTGGAATACGCAGGACGAAGTTTGGTATTATGGAAACAGCGCTTCGGGATTATACTTGAAGGCGAGGCTCTCATCTTCCTACGCGTACTCTCACCTGAGCTCAATGGCCGAAAGAAGTTGAAATTCGGTCGGGAAGGCATAGGCGAAATGACATCAAGCCTAGTTTGGTTGCACTGCCTCTATCTCCTGAGATCTTCTTGGACATTCAAGTGGGTGAGGAGAAGGGAAAAGGAATCCCGGTCAACGCCGTAGTAGTAGTAGAGGTAGTAGTAGTAGTAGTAGTAGTAGTAGTAGTAGTAGTAGTAGTAGTAGTAGTAGTAGTAGTAGGAATAGGAAGAGAAGAGAGAGCTAAGGTGCTGAGCGACAAATTATTGGGGCACTCACTTGCCACCTTCTGTGCGTCTGGGCCGGCTTGGTTCAAGCTTCAGTGTCAGCAGGCTTGACAGGCAATGCCGGGGATGGCTATGTGTGAACGGAGTAAGTCATTGAGCCGGAGTGTGGCCTCTCGAAACTTGAAGAGGTGAGAGAGCGAATGGCCAGTGGAATGATTTGTTGAAAGACCAGACATAGGACATGCGCGAGATGGAAGTATCTGAGTGAGGTAATCTGAGCCAGACTGGAAGGGCAGGCGATTCTCAGCATTTGCAAAGCGCCCAGTTTTAGTGCTTCTCACCAATGAACGAGTTGCGCTGAGCATGAACAAGTAAGTTTCGAGCCAGCTGACGACAACGGACGTTCTGAGGCCCAGTGGCACTCGTTTGCGAGCAGCCAGGCTGGGGTGTAATGTTCGCGATGCACTGGGTCCGCTTCCGAATCTGCCGGCCGTGAAACCGAGTGCGGTGCCAGTGTCTGATGCAGCGGAATAGCAGCACTCCGTTATACCCAGGAGGTTGTTGCCGCTGGAGTCCTCCTGGATGAGATAGTTTCGAAGCACTGGGCTGGAGTGCAAGACTAAGCCACCAGGCGCGAAGCTTCCTCTTGGACGATTCATCTCATACACAACCCCGCAAGCGAGAACGAATCATCGCAAGTGAGTTGGCTGCTTCAGCAGTGACCTCCGCCGACTCTTCAGATTGAGATAACCGGCAGCATCCGCGCCGCAATGTACCAGAGCATGCATCAACGGATACAGGGTCAGCCTTTCTCAAACGAAGATCAGGATGCACTGCCATCTGAAGACTGCCGACATGCCAAAGCTTGTGTTCCCTCGCTTGAGACGACAGCTGACAAGGGGTTCGCTAGGTGTTTCATGCCAATCAAACACTGCCCGAATTTCTCAGGTCGAGTGAAAATGAATGAGATTGGCTGCCCGGTGGGTGGGATTTGAGTGAGCCTAGGATGACAAAGGACGACCCTCAGTCGAAACTCAGTGAGCGACAGACTGTCAGTGCTTCACTGCTTTTACTGGAGAAGAGTGAGCCAGCGCCTGAACGTCTATTGCGTGCCTAGGGACCCCTTGCCAAGCAGCAATTCGGCGGAGTCATGTCAGGGGTGAACCGCTAATTTAAGAATGACATCACGTTGAAACGGGGCAAGATATGCAGTGAAGCCCCTTTCTTTCTTTCTTCCCTTCCACGCTTTGTTCGTCCGGTTCCCGCGGGTTGAGCAGTGACCTGGTTGACCTGGGTGAACAGACGGGGTGTTCTGAAGCGCATCTAGAACCCTGAGATCTAGACTTTGGGCTGCAGCTTGCGTTTGGATGAGATCCGTCCTGCAAGATAGACAACATTGAATGGTCACATGAAGCCTCGTCCGAACTCAACAAAGCTTACGCCATCGCCGCCTTCAAACTTTGCCGTCTTGCTCGGTCTCGCTCGTTGAGCACCTACACCAGACAGAATAGAGCACAACAGATGCGAAGCTGACCAGCTAGTCTGGCGCGCATTATCCCGCCATCAACCTGCAACTGGTCATCACCAACGCTGCTCCATAGAACAAACACGCTGTTCACTACTGCCAAGGATGGACCGCGCGGCATCGAGGCAGTGTTGCAAGAAAACCGGAGCTCTCTTAGTCGCTTGGTAGACTCCGCTGATCGCACACAGCCAAACAGCTTCAATTTCAGCCAAGGGCTCCCAAGATTGACTATTCGTACTCGCGGCGTACCAAACTTGAGCCCAGCAGCAGCGACCCGTCGTATTGAATCCTTCTCTTCTGCCCCTGGGCGCACGTCTCGTATTTTGCTGGGCAGCGTCGTTCGGTTCTTGGTTGTGTTAAGATTTGAAGTCTGGACCTCCCTTGTGGCTCCTCAAAGTTCATCTCCAGAGATGATCGTTTCCAGTATATTAAATCAATCGTCTTTTCCCATCGATTCCATGTGCCCATCTGTGTCTCCTCAGTCAACCCCTTGGTCTTCATCAAACAATTCATACCTGCAGCAGCAATATTGAAAGCGCCACTTTTCTTTACAGGCCTCTAATTGCTCATCATTTCGTCTCTCACTGCGATCAAACATCGTTCTTGACTCTTCAAACAAACATCCTGATCATTCTCTGAACCTCTGATCAACCACCAACGATTTCTCTTATCACTCAGTCGACATCCCACAGCCTGTCCAACGAGGAACAACCCAACACCATCACGATGAAGTACACCATCGCCTTCGGACTCCTCTCCGGCCTCGCCGCTGCCCAGTCGGCCACCACCTCCGCCGCATCCTCCAGCTCAACCGGTCTGGCCAGCCTCATCGCCCAGCTCCCCAGCTGCGCCGTAGGCTGCATCAGCACCGCCGCAAGCGACATTGGCTGCTCTGCAACCGACTTCACCTGCTTGTGCGCCAGCCAGGACAAGCTCATCTCCAGCCTGACGCCCTGCGTGCTGACTGCTGGCTGCTCCACAACAGAGATCGCCGGTATGTTGCACACCCTGTAACTCGTGTCCCATTCATTGTATAGATGGCTAACAAAGTTCTTACAGCGGCTGCAAAAATCGCACCGTCAATCTGCTCCGAAGTTCAGAGCAACCCGGCCGCATCCGACCTCGCGTCGGCATCGAACCTCGTAACCGGCGTCCTCGGTACCGCGGCCGCTACCGCTAGCAGGAGCGCCGCCGCGTCTGCCACCGCTACACCCGCCGCCGCTGCGCGGCCGACGAACGCTTACTACGGCATGCTCGGCGCCGTCGCTCTTGCTGCTGCTGCTTTGTAAATACTGCATGGGCTTTGAAGATACCAATACTTTAGGGATACGGCGCATTGGAGGGGCTGCGGCTTTGGTTTTATGACATTTTGGAATGGGAAATCGGGCCTCGTGATAGCAAGCGCCATGGTGCGTTAGATTCAGCTTCTGTCTGGCTCAATGGGGTGAATCTGACAAAGGTCAATGTAACCTTGAATGATGATCGGGGCCAATTGCGCAGTGGCATTCATTCTTTTCGCGCTCAAAGACGTTTATCAAGGATGAAAAATACAGTCACGTTCATCTTGAAACACTCCCGTACGACGAAAGAAGGAGTTACAGACCGATCAAATTGTGGTGATTGTTAGATGGCGACTTCAGGCAACCAGCTCAATTTTTGGGATGGTCCAGGTCTTAAGTAAGGGATAGAAATACCCGCACAAAGTCTCAGTGCTGACCTCCCTCATGCACTATCATCCATCGCCCATCGAGCTTTGAGCCTCTCGACCAATGTCGTGATAAACCTTATATCCGTGACATCCGGTAGTTCTCTCAACGTTGGGCTGTCCCTCTCAGTCTCCTCTGTTGAATATGCCAGGACCCCCTTATTCGCAGAAACCGTACGTCCATACTTGCTCTCGAACCAATCTAAGAGCTTGATCGGCGGATTCTTCTCCGGGTCCCGTTCCGACTGCCGCAACTTGTCCATCCACTGATTAGTCGGGAGTATCTCAAAATGCAGACCAGCTTCGGATAGGGATGGAAGCATATCACGGGACCAGTGGAAGCGCGTCGGGTTAAGGACATGGTACACCAAGTCGGGATCGGTAACGCGCTCGCTCGGCCGCGGGGCGACGTTGGCATTGACGAGTTCCAAGATGGCCGTTGCGGCATGGTCGACGGGCAGCCAAGTCATCTCCTACCATCACGTCAGAGTCATCGCTTCTTCCAAGCTGTTCACGTGAGACTCACCTCGTCGAGATTCGGCAAGGCTCCAAGCGTGACAGCCGTCTTGATCATCAACGGGATACCTTCAGTCGCGTTCCATTCGCCGACCTTACTATCACCCACAAGCTGCCCAATCCTCAAAACTCTTGCAGGAGCCCCGACATTCAGGTTCGCGTTACGCGTGATATGTTCAGACACCCACTTTGACCGCGCATATCCCGTTCCCTGTGCCCATGCAGGCGTCGGAATCGGTCCCTCTGGCACGTTACCAGGCCTAGGCGAACCACCTGACGCGGAGACCGATGAGCAGAAGAAGAATCTTGCGGGATTGAGCGTCTCGACGGACTGGCACAACTGGATGAGGTTGTGGACTGCCCTTATATGCTGGTCTTCGAAGCTCTGTACGGGGATATTGAAGTTGACGGCCCAGGCGCTGTGAATTATGATTGTGAGCCTCGACTTCAGATCGGCGATGCGGGTGGCGCCGAGGCCGAAGTCTGGGAGGCCTAGATCACAGGATAACGGCACCACTTTAGATTGTTGGAGGGGGCTTAGAAAGATGCCGCGCGAGGTAAGTGAGTGTGCGATGCGAGATGCTGCGTCGGCATCGTCGGGTGCGCGGACGGCTGCCCAAACTGAGGATACGGTTGGGAGGGCAGCGAGTTGGCCAAGAAGATGAGCTCCTAAGCCGCCCGTCACTCCAGTGAGGAACTGTGAAGGCGATATCAGTATTGTCTTGAGGTCGCGGTGGAACTAGTGTCACTTACCACGAGATGCTTCTCAGGTTTTGGGGCTGTACCAGCGACGTGCGGTGTGATGGAGGAGTACTTGGCTACCAAATCCTGCATTTTTAGTAGCTCGTCTTGTGCCGCTTCGACCTGACCGTTTCTCAATGCAACGAGATGTTCAGAGAGTTTTCGGATGTTTCCAGATTCATAGAGAACGTTCTGTCCTAGGTAGCTTTGACGACCACCGAAATCGACTTCCCTCTTGATCAGACTCCACATCTGGATGCAATGGAGACTATCAACGCCGGACGCGAAGAAGTCTGCGTCGGCAGATGGTAAGTCGATACCCAACTGCTTCTTGAGTTGCTGCAGAAGCCAGATCTCTAGCTCTTGGCCCTCCAGAGACAGGCTGCCTCCTTCGTCTTCATTCTCATACCTGTTATAGGCGATTTGTATCTCTTTTTCGAATTGCTGATAGAACAGCGCCCGAATGAAGGTCCCCTTGTCAGTGCGGGGGTACTGTGTCTCCGATGGAAGCACAATGATGAGCTCTCGAGGTATGCGCGAGAAGGACTCGGCTTTCGTATTCGCAGCTTGAACTGCCGGCCAGATCGCTTCAACAAACTCCGCATCAGATAGGCTCGCGGCGTTGTCCGCCCTGACGATTAGAGCACCGGGATAACTTCTCTGCTCGCCAAAGACTATAGCCTCCTTGACAATCTCCTCTTGGCGAATTCTCCCTTCGATGAGAATAGGGAGCACCTTTTCGCTATTGATCAGAGTGAACCTGTCGTCGAGTCTGCTGACATACTTCCACCAGTCCGGCTGCGTGGGATGTTTCAAGAAGAGATCACGTGTGCGGAATGAGTTTGGCGGTGAATCCGAGTTCGATGTCGACTTTGAGGGGATACCGTCGAGGCAGACACACTCGTAGATCCCAGGCGAGATCTCATCCATGAGAACGTAGGGCTTTGCGGAGGCGAGAGGACGCAGGTAGTTCCAGGCTTTATCGCCCGGCGGGCGAACGGAATTCATCAGCCTGCCTACCTCGGTTCTTGAATTCATCAGTACTGGTGCCTACACGGCTTAAGGGCCTAGAGTGATTGAGGGCTGCTCTTACGATCCGTAGTTCCCGACGAGATAAACCCCTTTACTGACTAGGCGGTCGCCAAGGTCATCTGGACAGCTACTTCCCCCGAAGAGAACAAGTTTTACACTTGCCAGAGCGCGGATGCCCTCGTCTGATTCGGCTAGTAGCTTCACGACATAGGGAACCACATGGAAGATCTTAGGCTTGACATAGTTGATTATCTGGATCAGATTCTGTCTCGTCAGAGGTAGATTGTAGTTACCATAGTAGATGGGCTTCTTTGAGTAGATTGAGCGAAATGTCTCGTAAAATCCGTGGCTATGAAATAGGGGAGAGACAATAAAGGCCCTCATGTTCATATGAACGGAAAAGGCCCCAATGCAGCTCCTGTGAGTTAGGTAGATCGGTTTCGGAAGGCCTGTCGAACCGGAGGAGTGGATGATGGCGGCAATTTTCCTCGATTCTCGCTTCGGGTCATAGGTCCTGGAAAACACGGGGGCATCTCTACCGTAGTAATCTGAGTGAGACAGCAGAGGTAAAATATCGAGCTCGTGTTGCTGCTGAACTTCAGCTAGAACAGGATGGAAAGTTGACGTGGTGAGCATGGCACTGCAGTCCGCCAACTCACAAAGGCGGGCGATTCCTGGGCTCTGAAGCCTCGTTGAGACAAGAAACACTGCGTAACCTAGCCTGCTAAGAGCCATAATCGTGATGACGACATGCAAACCAGAGTGAGCGAGGATTCCTATCACGGGGGCCTTCTCAGAATTTGAGTCCTCATCAAGTTACAAGTCAGTGGAAGCTTGGCCGAAATAGTAAAGAGATAGCACGGCTTACAACGGAGGATAGACCCAACTGCTGTAGCCTCTGCACGGCGGCGTCGATATACCGGTCTACGGCGCGAGCGCTGTGCTCCTCGAAATCTAGAAGGCCCTCGTTAGGGTACCCAAGTAAGGGCGCTTCATCGAGTTCGAGTGCACGGCTCTTGATGAGCTCGTCGAGGGTGAAGAAAGGACGATCCTGAGCGGAGACCTTGAACTGGGTCACTGTCGTCGTCTGAGTTGCCATGATGAAGAAGCCAAAGAGAGGTGCATTAATTAGAAACAGTATGGATGTCGTACTTACTTGGAGCCCAGTCGGTGATGAGGGAGAAAGTCCCGACTTGACGTGGGACTAACTTAACTTATGTACTAACAATCATCTACTACCGCCGGCTCCGGTCCCCTGCAACCTGATCGGCATTGGGCGTATCCGCGTGACAATTCCGTTCCGCCTCCGTTCCGGGCCGCTGATGCGAGTTGCTTAGGTTTCCGGGTGCGGGGTCCGGGTGCTCCGAAGCGTCTATAACCGGCGGTGGTCTATGGGGATCAGTCACCGCCAATGAGGTGTAAATACGATGCTAGTGTTCTTGTGAATCTCAGTATGCGAGGCTTGCGGCTGTGGCGTTTCGTACTTATGCGCCTGTGCAGTGTTGGCTTTAGACGGAAACCTTCAAGTCCTCGATGAAGAGAGACCGAGAAGCTCGTAATTGCTGCACCTCAATGTACCTTAAGCACGTACAGGTAGCAGCAGGCAGGAAGGGCTGAGAGGCAGCCGGTCATCAGGGTACATGTAGTGGCGGATCTTCGGCTAATGGGCTGGCACTAAACGAATGCCCGAAATGCTGAACTGTAGATTTGTTTGATAATCTGTCACCAGGAACCAATCTGTATTGTGCTCCGCGCAGGGCCAGGTGCGTGTGTTGCCTTGCGTACTTGATGTGGGTTGTATGCGATTTTCATGAGGCTACCTACTTCAGAACTTCACTCTCATCTTACCTTGTATTATCTGAGTGGTGGGATCTCTCCCACGGCCATGCTTGTAAGCACTTCCATACGCCTTGGCCAAGACCGCGCATGCCCGGTTATAGACGGACTTCTGGCAGCTACTGATACTAATCCAGGCACGGCGAATGATGTTCATGCTTATTGCGTCGCAATTGACTTGTACCGAGCCATCACACAGCCCTGCGCCCGGGGCCTTCAGTCCGTCGCTATGACGAAAACTATAGCCCAGATTCTCATCGATTCGAACGCCAAATTCTAGTCACCTCCCTGAATCCGATAGAGTTTCTGATGTATCGAATACGCGAGGGACGTATTTGAACATGAAACCCATGGCTTGCAGTCGGTTAGTGTAAGTACCTACTCTGTCATCTGACCCGCAGAGCGACAGAAACTGACAGGGTCACAGAGCACGCGAGGTTCTCAAAGCACCCCAACTCTGTGTCTTTTCATGTTTGTTTGGAAGTTCTTCTCAGTCATGCTTCAGTTTTTCTAGCAGTCCAATAATAAGGGAAACACTGATTGGGAGTTTAGCAAATCCAAGACTTACATTATAATACTACATGAACTGTAAGCGTAGACGTCGCCCTAGCCCCTAGGCATGCGTGCTAAAGCCAGTCATCCCCACTACTTTGTAACAATCAGTAAAGAAACATTCGACAAGACCACGTTAAGTATGAGATCACTTTGAAGTAGACTCAAAGCGAGTTACGAACGTTTGATTCTCCTCCGCAATTGCTACTATCTCAATCATCTGATCAAGATACAGTACTAAGTGACATAGGTAGTGTCTGGAAGATGGTGAGTGACATCACACTCTCCCAGATTGATGTTGCGCCCAGAGCCTACTTGTAGGCTTGAGCCGGCCACAGGCTGTGAGACCCTACAAGAGCGGTAAAGTTTTCACTGGATGCAGCCATCATTGAAAGGATCCATGCAACCCCCGTTCTCGTCGTAAAAGACTGCTGGGACGTCGAAGTAGCATCGAGGCACCTTTCCGATTCCACCCCAATCTCTACGCCATTGCCATACCCATTGAGGGCGCAGTCAATAATGGCAGCGTAGAATGGTACTCGATTCCCAATGCCGTACCTCTCCATCACCTCGTAGATCCTGGGCTCGGCCTCCTCCCAGAAAGTGTCAGCCGATTCTCTCATTAGGTAGAAACAGTACTCTTCGCCGCTTCTCAATTCCATCCACTGACGGCCGATGTCAGTTCCATATCCTTCTCGGGTTTCGGCGTCTATGTGTCTGTCGGCCACCAGATGTAGTTTCGAAGCCTTCATGGCCTCAGTTGCCACTTTCATCTTGAGGTTATCACTGATGATGTTAATCCAGCTTGTGAATTAGGGCGAGTCCTCAGCAAGTATGGCCAACCGCCGTTCAGAAAAGCGGGAACTTTGCTGAGAAAATTGTCCTTCTTGTTTCCAAGAGTAGGAAGAGCATTATACTCGTTGCCATCAACTCCTCCACCTGTAGCGACGCGAAGGGTGTCTTCGAGGCCTTTTGTGGGACTTCCAAAGGCATCCCCTAAGGCGACTGCGACATTATTCGCCTCTATATTCTCTTTCGATTCCGCATCGGCCATTTGAGAAGAGATGCTGCCAATGATAGCTAGTCCTGCAGTCACGAATCCGGCAGGGCCCTGTCCATTGGCTAGAAACCAGTAAAGCTTACTCGAGTAGTGAGATTTGTAAATACTCAAGGAAGTTGCATCTGAACATACCGGTACCATTGCCGCTCCTGGCAAAGACTTGGGACCGCCTCCCGTTGATGCAGCGGCTGCAATCCACTTGAATACACTTGACGCCTTCGTGTCCGGCGCGTCGAACTCACTGAGTGTCTTCGATGGCTTCAAATTCTCCACGAGGATTTGTCGAGTAATCTGCTCGTTGATCTTGTCAATCTTGCTGTGTAGCCCTATGACGGCTTGGAAAACCCAGTACGAGTTTCTGCCAAAGCCAGTCTTGTTGGTTTCATCATAATTTCTCTCGTAGTCCTAGTCGCTAAAAGGGCTGCATTGGTCGCCGATTATCGATTAGCCGCCGACTCCATGACGACCATTGCTTCGCATTTTATGTTCAAGCTTGGAGGTCCAGCCTTTGTTTGCCTTACTTTGAGTGAACGCCACGCCTGCGTCCTCTGCAGTATTGACGGGATGAGCTTCTGAATGTTGGATTGAATGAGAGACGCGAGATAGCAGATTTGTGACTCGGTATCGACGACTTACTCAGGCTTATTTCGAGGAAAAGATCGAGAGAAAAGCCCGCGGCGGTTTCTTGCCACCATTGTTCGACGTCTTCTACAGTCAAAAGAATCCAATCTTTACGATTTTTTTCTTTATTCCAAATGGGTTCCATATTCTCTAGAACCGGCGTGGCGCCAGCCTCCCTTTTCGTTTGCATTGGTTAAAATGACCAGAAAACACGTTCTCAAGGTGACGAGAGCATCCATGACCCCTCTTCATCTTACTGAATGATGGGCAACAGTGCCCTGTAGCAGCATCGTATCCATCATACTTGTCAGACACAATGTCTCCATCCAGATGCGGACAATTGCAGGAACGCAACGTGATACCCGACTCTTGTATGACCCCGTTAGACAATCGAAGTCTCGAAGACCAGCGCCTGACTTGTATGAGGTGTAATGTATCACACACCACTCAACATTACATCACTAGTGTAACCTTTCATTGGTACATCCTTAATTGCGGCTATGGACGGGCCAATACCTGCGGTTGTAGATGGAAATCGGGATATCACAAATGTCGGGTTGCATCACTCCGCCTTGACAATCTCGACATGTAGCTGAAGTAGTCAGGCATTTATAAGCAATTCTTGGGTGCCTACCCCATGGGGAGGCCGCACCCCGGATTTGCCTAACAACCACGGCGAACAGACTGCCGGATCAATCATCACAGTCGCCTATAATAAGCAAAGGCGTTAATTGGTGGGTATTGTGAGGGAGTTGGTAATACATTCATTCACTGTCATTGTCTCTACAATTATTTTTTGCAAGTTTCCGGCCCCGAGGAGGCCTTTTCCGATTTAATATGAGATCCCAGATGGTATTAGGTAGATTATATAAGAGGCAATTCCTTGAATAGCTCCGAATAATTGTTCTCATCTCAACTCAGCGCTTTGAAGCAGCCCCATGTCACATCATATTCAGTAATAACCTCTACAGCCAGCCATGTCTTCAAATCAGCAGTTTGTGACCACCGATATGGTCAAAGACCAGGAAGCAGTCGTCGATCATATCGACCACCAAGAAAGTTCCAAAGGGGGGGTTTTTCAAAGCCATCCTGACAAGTTTGGGTCTGCTGCTAAAGTTGATCCCAAAGAAATCGCCTTGGTTCGGAAATTGGACACCTATCTCATGGTAAGCCGATCGCTACATCTTCAATTATCGTCCACAATCTCCATTACCAGAGATGGAAATGAAGCTAAATCAGAAAATTTCACCTAGCCCATTTTATGGTTGATGTACTTCCTGAACTTCCTTGACCGAAATGCAATTGTGAACGGCAAGCTCAATAACCTGGACAACGATCTCAACATGAAAGGATCCGAGTACAACACCTGCGTCAGCGTCTTCTTCGTTGGGTCAGTCTCACAATTATAAGTGACCCGGACATTGTTTATACCGGAGCATTGTTGACATATCAAGGCAGTTACATCACGGGACAAGTTCCGTCGAACATGCTGGTGACGCGCGTCAAGCCTGCATACTACATGTCCGGCTGGATGATGGCTTGGGCTATTGTATCAACTCTTATTTGTGTTGTGAAGGACTATCATGGAATGCTTGCGTGAAGGTAAGTCGGAAGTTACTTACTTGATCACAAAAGCCGAAGACTGACGATGTCCGTCGGTTGGAAGACTGGTGCTTGGTCTCACTGAAGCACCTTTCTACTCGGGCGCTTGCTACCTCGTAAGCTTATTTTACACGCGGAAAGAGGTTGCAACGCGACTCGCTGTATTCTACACGGGCAACTTGCTTGCGAGCTCATTCTCCGGTCTTATTGCCGCTGGCGTCTTCGCCGGTCTAGACGGACGGCATGGCATGGCTGGGTGGAGATGGCTGTTCCTGATACAAGGTGTCGTCACAAGTAAGACTTTGCCCCAAACAATGCAGAAGATGACCTGAGCCTAGAGTCTGACAGTAGTATCATACAGTTGGTGTTGCCGTGGTGGCTTTCTTCGTACTTCCCAATGCCCCGCTCCAGACGCGATGGCTCACTCAAGAAGAACGCGAGATGGCTCATTCGCGGGTTGCAAAGGACACGACAGAAAAACGACAGGGAACCAGCATTTGGTCTGGTCTCTGGGATGCCGTCACGGATTATCGCACCTGGGTCTTCGCTCTTATGGGAAATCTCCACCTCTCGGCAAACAACTTCAAGAACTACTTGCCGACAGCTGTCAAGTCACTTGGCTTCAGTACCACGACGACGCTGGTACTCACCTGTCCACCGTATCTCATAGGAGGAGCGACGTCCGTTCTGGTGTCATGGTCCTCAGGAAGGTTCAACGAACGTACCTGGCACATCACAGGTTCCAAGGCAGTCGCGATCGTCGGCTTCGCAGTAGCAACGAGTACAATACACATTGGCGCACGCTACTTCGCCATGGTTCTGTTTGTGGCGGCTACGTATGGAGTGAACAACATTAATGGTAATCATCGCTTGTTCGACCCGGGCATTTTAACTTGATGAGCATGGACTAACGCCTTACGCCAGTCGCGTGGACGTCAGCAACGGTCGGCCAGACTGACGAAAAGAAAGCTGCCGCAATCGCCATTGTCAATACGTTTGGCAATCTGTCTTTTGTCTACACCCCTTATCTATGGCCGGATAGTGATAGCCCCCTTTTCCGTAGAGCCATGGTCGCCAGCATCACCTTCTCCCTGGGTGTGGTCTTAACTGCATGGACTATGAAGTTCGTCTTGAAACGCGCTAATAGGGAGATCAGAAGCACACAAGATGAATCGATCAATTTATACGCATACTAGAATCAACAAGTCAATGCAGGCTCTAGGCTGCTTGGTCCCTCACGTCGAGATTTGTATCGGAACATGCGAGAGTGTCTCTAGTACTGCGAATCCGGGCCATCAGGTACTAAGTATGTACGTGTCGAAGAATACGGCGGTCTTAGGATGGGGCGGGTCACTTTGCTCAACCAGTGTAAGTCCATACTGGGCTGGCAGGGGAATTCACCCATTGACTTTGCGGTAGTCGATCAGAATCTGGTGAAGCATTGCCAACATCTGCGCATTGATCCAAATGATATTTGAGCCATCTCTCATAGTGACACTGTTGTCCGTCCTGTACTAGGCGGAAGCGTAATCCCGCCAGGAAGCTTGGTAGTTCCAGTCTCAGTCAAATTGATCTGGTGGCATCCACATCGAAGCTGTCAAGCCCAATAACCAAATAGCTTCTGCTGATTGAACCTTTAGAGTAATGAAGACGGTGGGGGAAACGCAATGAAGGCCACTCTCACGCACACGGCTTTCCCGAGCAAACGTTGCATCTGGGAGAGAGAGTCCACACCATGGAATAGAAACATGATCCACTTCATGGTCAAGACTACCGGATAATCAATGATTGCTAAGCTGATGGGTACGTGAGGAGAACCATGCTCACGTCTACGTATTTACAGGAAGTTGATAATGATAAACGAATAGAAGTATGAAAGAACATAGAAGCTGCCGACCAGGGAAAATAACAGGAAACTAAAGGAAGACATGCGCATGTAGGCGCCTCTAATCCACCTTACTTGCTTACATGCGATGCCCAGTATTGATCGAGGTTCTTGTAAACCTCGTCAACCTTGCTGTACGGGTCAGTAGCGGCCATAGCCTGCACCGCCTCCTCAATGGCAGAGTCGGAGAAGGGTCCAGCTCGAGTGCGCAGATCAGCCATGACGTACGGCTTTGCTCTCCAGCGCGCTTCCATGGGATCAATGAACTTGGTCTCGTTGTATCCAAACTCTGGAAGGACAGTGACGTTGAAGGCGGCCATCATATCGCTGTCCTCGTGGATCAGGTTATGGCAGTGGAACATGTAAACACCGTCCCAAGGGGCGTAGTGTGCCTCAACGAGGACTGACTCGCCTCTGCCCAACCAGACAACATCTTTCAAGCCCTCTGCTTCGTACGGCATCACGCCACGATCACCGTCTCTAGCGATGACTTTGAAGTCGACGAGATGGACGTGGATGGGGTGAGACCAACCATCTGAACTGTTCTCAAGTTCCCAAATCTCGACTTTGCCTCTGGGGACGTTGGCGAGAACACGGTTCTCTGCATCGGCGAAGCCAACGCCATTGATACGCCATTCGCCGTTAGTACGATGGAATCGGAAATGGTGATCAATGACGTTGTCAGTCGATGTCGGGAAGGGAACTGTGCGGAGGACTTCTGGGACGGTGGACGTGTCGGGGCTAGTTAAAGTCGTACCAACGACGAACTGCATTACTTTGTCCGTATGCAAGTAGTCGTCCTCAACGCCGATACCGCCAGCCTTGGGGAAGTTCCTGATTTCCAGTCTCTGGCCAGCGTACTGAGCGAAGTCGATCACAATTTCATATCGCTCAGCTGGTGAGACATACTGAACAAGAGTCAGCAAATTTACGTCTTTGCTCAGATATTATAGTTTAAACTTACAAGGTCTGCGACTTGCACCGGCTTTCCCAAGAGTCCATTGTCGGAGCTAATGACCTGGAACGGCAGCTTTCCATTCACAGCATTGGAGTTGACAAGGTATAGCGCAAAGGCGCGGGAAACCGCTGCGTTCAAGAAACGGAACCGGTATTTTCGCGGCTCGACATTGAGAAACGGCCAGGGCTGGCCGTTGACGTGAATTAGATCGCCCCAGAGACTGTCAGTCTCACCCTTGGTTGAGAACAGAGTACCATCGTCGTTGTATTGCTTGGCAGAGAGAACAAGAGGAATGTCATAGACGCCATAGCCAGTGGGCAGGTTGAGAGCGGTCTCTGCCTCATCAGTGATCAAGTAGGCGCCGGCCTGTCCCATGTAGGCATTCTCAGCGGTCTAAGGGTTTGAATTAGAGGTTATGTCTACAGTTTAAGATGCTATGATGGACTTACAAGATGCATTGCATGATCATGGTACCACAGCAGTCTCGCCGACTGTTGGTTGGGGTAGTAGTAGTCTTTGTACTCCCCTGGGTTGGTGATATCTTCCGCCCAACCATCGAAAGGGGCACGAGAGTAAGATCCGTGAAGATGGACCGAGTTTTCGGCAGCGGCGTTATTGATAAATCTGATGATAGACTCCGTTCCGCGAGGGATAATCAGTGTCGGTCCCGGAGAGATGCCGTCGTAGCCCACCAGAGTTGCAGGGCGTAAGTTAGGATAGACCGCCTGACTGAAGGGCTTGATCTCAAGCTCGTAGTACCATATCTCCCTGTTTGTCACTGGATTGATGATCTTTCTGTGATATATGTCAAAAAACAGTGCCCAAAGAGAAAGATAGCTGATAGTCGTACTTGGTAGGTTCCTTCACAGGCGGAATGGGCAGAGGCACCTTGTAAATCAAGGCATACTCAGGGCTTTCCCAATCTTTGAGAAGAGTGAAAACATCTTCCGGATCATCCTCCACAATCTGAGCGAGGGCTACAACTTCTGCCTCGGGAATTTGGGAGATGTGGGTATCAGTGAAGGAGGAGTTTTGAGCTTGAGCTAGGCTGGCGGAGAGCACCGCTTGCACAAGCGCCACAGTCAGTTGGAACCGCATGTTGTAGGAAGGAGAATAGTGACTAAAAGATCAGGGTTTCCGGTTCTTAGGAAGTCTGTTGAGCAAAATATTCTGTTGGATCCGGAACAAACGGGGCAGGTGATCTATCTTTATACAAGAATTAGGAGACAAATTCAGCAAAAGAAAAGACCTAAAAATCTTGCCAAGTCAGGACTCAGAACCACTTCAGCTTCGACTCCGAAGTCGGATAGGATATGAACAAAGAGAAATCTTCCAGTCCCCTTGCGGTAATCCGGTCGTGAACCTGATGCATGCCATGTGACTGATGCAAGTGTTCTGCAAGAGACTAGCCTTGAAGGCTTTGATAGGAAATCAATGGCCGATGTACGTGATGGCATCAACTGCAGAAATCGCGGACACGCACATGTCATTGCAGTTACATCGCCACTGAGCCGATTGTCTTGCGATGTTTGCAATGTCCCTCATCCAATATGGTGGATCCGATGTTATTGCGCAATGTGGCGGGAACTCTGAAAGATCCACAGACATAGAGACTGGGTCGATGTTTCCCTGAATACCTTAGTGTAGGTAGCATTGGCACGAGTATCATTCCTCATGATCCTTTCATTTTGAGAGTGGTATTGATGATGGGCTGGTCGCTGCTGGGATGGTGCACGAGCACGTAGCTTGGCGAACACGGCTGGAGGCTCTTGTGATAGTACAGTAAAATATGACCTGACTAAGAAGTTGGCAGTCTTGGAAGAATGATACGTTATTGCGCTAATATGACTCGGCAGAGACTCGTGCTTCCTTAGAGTCGGAGGACCTTGGTCTAACAACAGAATGCCATTCCAATGAGACGTGAAATGGGACAGGAAGTAGGTGACGGGCATCTAAGGCCGGCGATATCAGGCGTGTAACTATCATCTGGGTCTCCGGTTGAAAAACCACACCGCGTACTTGATAGGATAGCTTTCATGAGGCGTTAATTGCATCCCCTAGTTGCTCACCTTGTAGTCATTCAATGGGCCAAGTCACACTTCCATTAATCATGTAGATTGAGTTAGCAACCGAGTATAACCGAGGAATATTCCGGGATCTCTCAAACACCTTGACGGCGTATCTGAACCTGACCAGCAATAATTTTGGCTTTGAGATCAAAGCCGAAAGTGTACTCGTACTCCTATTTCGGATCTGGATCCCGCTCCTACCATGTGGCCCGCTACTCTTATTCAGACCGAAGCTGCCTGCCATGGCTGGCAGCATGGTCCGACCTCCTGCCAAGAGCTATAGTAACGCTGACTAGTCTATCCGCCCCTCCAAAGAAGCCCTGATGATAAGCACCTAAAGTCAAAGAACCGTCGATCTAGAAACGAATTCTTCTTGCATTCGGAAAGGACACAACCCGACTGCTACTCTGCTCCTTCGGGTGAACCTGCCCCCTCCCATCCTACAGACCCCTCTAGGGGCGGAGATGAGATCGTAAATGTCGACTCGGTGACGCTTTGATATCGACAACTGTCTCCCCCCCGCGCCTAGCATGGGTTTTCGTAAATCCCGCATCCCCTTTCTTATAGATTCGTATTTGGTCGGCAGGGGCCTCCAGACCGTGGAGGTCCTCTGTCTGATCCCACTGGCTGTGGTTCAGGGGTCGAGGAAGGTCTGTCTTAACCTTATCACAAGAGGTGATCGGTCAACCCGCAACTTTATCACTCAACTTTACTACAATCAGAATAGTTCTAAAAACCATTAACTTGACGTATCCAAGTAATCTACGCGGCCTCACAAAGTCTCCCCAAGATATTTGTTGAAGTTCTTGAATTTCAAATCTGAGGTATGTTAGATTGTAATGTGTGCTTGGCCAAAATCAATCTCCAAAGTCATTCGAAGGAATGCATTCGCTTCTTTCTTGTAAGCATTTGCAATCAACGAGAGAAAACATCCGAAGGCTGACACATTCTGTTCATGTTAGTCCAAGAGTCCGAGTAAGTTGAAAAGCCGGCCCTCTTTCGCCAAGAGTGTCCAACACGATGGGTCGCGTCACGCATCCTCGTTGTAACCAGGCCACGCCACCATCAGCCCGCACTTTCTGCCAACTTTGAAAGGGAAGAGGAATGTAGAGCCGGGAACATAGAGCAATGAGGTTGCGGTCGCTTTTCTAGAGAGGAAGGTGGCAATGTTAACCGTGCTCTAGACCCGTTCTCACGGTAGTCCTTGGCGGGAGTGGCCGGTCAAGACCCATGGTTCCCGCAGGCAATACGCGGGGATACTGCAAGGTAGATATGTGGGCATTTCCGCTTTCGAGATTCAATTGCTGTCGGGAACTACCAACGGTCAAAGGCGAGAGCGTTCGACGAAGACTTCAGAGCTCAGAAGACCACATTTTCTCCTAAAATGGGCTCTAACCCCGCGGGTGGAGCATCGCGTAAAGATCCCTTAGCGAGTCTTGGGCCCGCCCATGATTCAAGTCTCAATGCGGCTGCAGTGCCTGTCTGGCACAGCGGTTACTGAAGCATTTGCTTGGCTATCGTTGCCATTGCCAAGATGTAGCATCACCGTCGAGGGTCGGCAACTTTTGGCTAGCCCGGTATAGTCCGCCGGTATTAATTGCAACCCAGCCCATAGCATGTGAAGTTCTGAAACTTTAAATCGGGGATAACGGCGGACGATGAGCGTCTCAACGCGCCGCAGCTGTTCTGTGCTAAGAACTGAATTAGTCTAGTTACTGCCAGGCGCGGTTCTTGTCCTTGTAGTACTGTGAACCCTCGTTGGATCTCCATGATGCTGTTGGTGGTGTTTTTGCTCAGTCTAACTTCTAGGCGCGCGCGCGGGGTGACCCGTGTTTACAATTGCTTGGCTAAGTCACAAGCATGTATCCAACGAGATCAGATTATGAGAGCTGAGACAACTGGCTGCGCCTGCATGCACCTCTTGCGTGACGAAAGTTTAGGCGATTATCTGCGGTTAACATAAGCAAGGTACCCTTGTCACCAACAGCCCCGATCTTTCCGTCCTTGGAGTTACGACCACCAATGAGATGCTCGCCAATTGTAGTCCAAGCTTACGTTCCATGAGTTGTGCTGGGATCGCTCAGGAGCCTCCTCCTGAGTCTTGAGACTTTACATGTACTCACCCATCGGCAGAAATGACCAAGAGTCTGAGCCGGTCCGGGATCCTGGGTTGCATTCCCCCAACCGTTGCAACTTCCCCGCTCCCGGGATTCTTGAATCAGGATGCCGGACTGGCAGGTTTTGACGACTCGGTTCTCCCTCAACCCGATTCCAACCCCGGCATACGTCGCCAATTATAGACCCGTAGTGAACCTCGCGGAACCAGGCCCGAGACCTAAACCATGCGGGAGAGTTGCACATAGTGGAGCCGCATCCTGGAGTTCTCATTGCCCACTTGGGGTCACCTCCACGATGTAAGGGTACAGCACTGCATCTAGGGGTCATTATACGTAATCTAGTCACGCGCATGGCCGGGGCGAAATCACTCAACCAATTTCATGTCTTGGCAGAAACGGCGGAGCGGACTTGCTAGGGAGGTTGACATGGACTTCAAGATGGGGTACCTCCTCGTCGGCTTGTCTGTCTGGCGGTCAACATTCTCTGAATTTTGAGAATCCTCGTAAATCCAATAATCATGGTCTCCTGCAGACTGATCCGGTGATCGGAGTGATACGGAGGCCTCGCAACAAACCGTTGCCCGCGTCGGCTTTCCTGGGTTGAGAATGTCAAGTCCGCAGAGTCACGCTGCAGCGTGTCATTCACCGTCTATAGTTGTCGTGATGAGAAAACACTTGCGTCTGCTAGAAGGCCAAGACAGTCCATCGAAGGAAGTGACAGGAGAAAGTGATGGTTCAATCTTGGCAATGGTCGTCGACGCGGGTATCGACATTGGGTCTACGACCTCATCCTCTCTCGTTTACAGTTCACTTTCTTTCATGGGAGACAGTTCCAATAGGGGCACAGTTTGATTGAGATTGATCTCAAGACTCCTGAAGGTTTAGGTGGGAAGTACACTTTGAGGTTTGTGATAAAATGGCGACGATTTCCGTGCGACGATCTGAATATCCTCCACCACAAACATCAACTTTCTATCCTATCATTCAAATAGAGTCATCATGCATCCTCTCCGTGTCTTTATCGCTATCTGGTCCCTGTTGGTGGCTTCTGTAGCATCTCAAGAGGCCCCTATTTGGGTTCAAGGTGCTCTCGAAGACGCAACTGCAACTGACGATGCGTACAACACAGGAGGGACAATTGTCGTCAATGGCTTTACCGTCAATGTGCCAAAGAACCTTCTGGTACAGTTTCCAGCTGCCTGGGTGCCCTGGAAGGAGTTTGTCGCCAATAAGGCGGATTTTACCGGATATGAGACTTTGGTATAGATGCCCGACATGCATATCAAATTCAAGTAGAGCGTTACTGATATCCGCGTATAGGTCATTGGAAATAGCATCAACGGAGAGCCTCGTGTTGCCCAAGTCCAACTCTACGAATTTTTCGAAGGGTTGAGCAGTGGCTTTGTTGAGTCTGTAGACTTCGCGGATGGAAGTCTCAAGATTCAAAACGGGCCAACCGTCAGGATTTCAGACCCGAATGCTGTTTTCTCAAAGGGCTTTACCGGCGCGCCGTTGATGACTGCGGATGATCAAAGCCCCAGTATCACGTCTTTCTCGGGGTTTCCCATGTGCATTCCGCGCAATGAGACTGATCCTCTTTGTCCTCTGAGCAACCGACCTTTTGTCGGGCCGGGCACTTTGTAGGTCAATTTTCCTCTTGAGATCGTCATGAAAGTCCAAGCAACAAGCTGACTTTGACAAAAGCACGGCACCTGACCCAGTTGTAATGGCCCCATTCCAAGCCGGCGATTTCATCACCTTTTCCGGATTCCGTCGAGGCGCTGAGGTCATTGCCTTCAGTATTGTGGCGCAGAACGTACAGATCAATACCCTCGGCGATGTGGTCTACGTGAGAATGGAACTTGGCCTGCTAGGAATTGACAACCCAAACCCCAACGCTGAAATTGCAGAG